CAAATAAGGCAATTCCCACCTACACTCCTTCATCTGCATGCACCCACAGATCCCAACTACCATCAGTTAGAGTGCAGCAATGAATGTAGCAAGACCAGCATCAGCACCCAGCATCCTCAAACAGTTGCTGAGCTTGAAGTACCACAGCAGTGCCCACCACTTGGTCCTTCATTCCATCTTCTCCCTTGGCCATTTGGTGTTGGTGGCCACAAAGCTTCCATTTTCCTTTCCCCACAATATCCCAGGGTGGCTGAGAAAAGACTGCTCTGGAGCACTGTGGAGAAAATTAAATGACTCCTGGCTTCAGAGACCCAGTCCACTGTCACCAGGTAAGCTCACAGTTGGGGAAGTAAGTGGGAGGCTGGAGCAGGAAACAAGTAGTGAGGACCACCCCTAGGGCACTAGAGGTAGCACATTGGGAGCTGGCTATTCTGCAGACATATTGGAAATCAGCACCCAGTATCCAAATGCCTGGATATATATATAATCCCAAGGCACAAGCCCAACTTCTCTTTGAGTCTCTCTGTGTGTGGGGGGGTCATGGTCAGGATTGCATTAGTTAATCCAAGTTTGTGCAGTATTCAGGATACTGCTCTATTTGATAATAATCTTCTAGTTCTTTTATTCTCTGATTACATAAAACCCCCAAGACCTTCTATGTGTCAAGAGTAGACTCCTTAAGCTGTCTCAGAAGCCTCACCTCAAACTCCTGATGCTGAAAAACTATTGAACAGAATTACAATGACATTTTTGCTCGGGGGACGGGACCACACACACACCTTGAAGCTGAGCTGTGGATTAATGAAAATTCTAGTTCTATGGGTAATCATACCAACCATATCACTGTGATTATACTGGCAATATATTCACTGCTTTGCATATGACATAAATTAAAAGCTCTTCGTTCAATGGCATTGGATTTGTTTGAGTTTTAAAAGGGCATATGCTGTGTTCCTGCAGTAACACCTCTTTGTCATCCTAATGCACACTCTGTACTCCTGGAGATTAAGAGAAGCTTTTACAATCTGTGCGATGATGAAGAAGAAAAAATAAAGGACATAGGGCTGTGCAGTCCATTATGTTTTGCTTTGTTTGTTTGTTTGGTGTGTTTTTTATACAATATAAGTGAATCATAAAGTTACAATGGGCTCAGGAAGATGATCTCAGCTGATGTCTGGAAGTCATTTTATAATTGCCCAATAACTCAGAAATAACAGTGACTGTCTTTTTCCCTTGGCTTTCAGTCTGCTGGCTGGTCTATTTTCTGAGATAGCCCATCCCGTTCTGGGATTCTTTCAACTTTGGAATCTGTTTACCTTCACGAGCTAAAATGTTCTCTGCTGGAAATGAGATTTTGTCACGCAGGCAAGCAACTGAAGGAAGAGAAGGAAGAGTCAAGTGGTCATTTTCAACTATCCTTGTATGTTTCTAGTTTATCTGGAATGATTGAGCCTATTAGATTTGAAATAATTCCACTCTTGTAGCAATTCTTATTTCTATGGTGAGCTCAATTCCATTTTAAAAGGCCCTCACTTATGGGCAGCTCTCAAAGAGGCAATTGGATATTAAAATGAACTTTTAGGCAGCCCAAAGTAAACATGATCTGAAGAAGGGCTGATTCTTATAGTATGAGAGTGGTGTAATCGCCACTTATCTATGTCCCCATTACATGGTCGTCAAGTAAAGTAAAACTCAAATGGGAAGAACCATAATATGGTCAGAGGCTAGATTCAGGCATCTGAGTTCACTATAAGTCTTCCCACATGGTCCTGTCCCACTGATGTGTGGCAAGAATGATTGCAATTCCAAAGTAACAGGCCAGAATGGCTGTGAAAAGATTGCTTGAGTGTTTTCATGGTTCTTCCATGGCTGTGAACAGGTGTCTTCACAGTTCTTTGAACCAGGTAGTTGTTCCAAGCTGTCAGTGTCAGGGATTTTTGACCTGCAACTGTGTGAGACTGTGATTTACTGAAGCTGTCAATCAATTAATGGACTAGTTGTCTAGGTGGAAGTTTATTTAGCGTGGAGGTATATGAAAGGTGAGATTAAATAGTGTGAAGTTTGTATAAGTGTTGTGTTAGAGAGGTGCTCTGTTGAGTATTCTGTTAGAGACATTTGCTATAAAGTGAGGTTGCAAGTCTTGGTTTATATATTTGAGTGGAGTTTATATACTATTAGTAAGATATAAGATAAGGCAAGATTTATAAGATAGCTGTTTTGTTAAGTTAGGTGTGTCTTCCTTAACTGTGTTAGGATTCAATAGGTAGTGTTTTGTTTTATAATGTGAGGCTACATTTAGTTTAAGAAGGTCAAGTTAGGTTCTTCTTTCTTTCTAGGAGTCAGGATGTCTTTCTGCTAGTCACAGAAGCATCTGGTAAGACTTTGTTGTCTGCTGGTAAATTGCAGGTCTAGCAACAAAATGATTTATTCTTGTAGCAGGAAGGTGTACATGCAATGTTTTTCTATAGGTGGTTTGCACATCAATATTTCCTGCACCTACAAAATGCGTCCGGGGAACTGCTGACTAACAGTGCCTCAGTCTTATCTGGATTGAGTTTCAGTTTGTTGACTCTCATCCTGTTCAACCGAAGCAGGACAACAGTCCAGCACCTCCATTGTCACACTTGACCTGATAGGAGAATTCAAAAGAAAGTGCCCCTGTGTTCAGTAGGGCTTGCTCTCAAATAATTGGACTTAGATGTGTTTCTTGAATGGAGATCTGTTTTCTTGCACTCTCTAGCTCTGTATCCTTCCTTGTATTCATCCTTTATATTGTTTATACATTACTTGGAACATAAAAACCAACAGGTGTGGCAAAGTGTGTTGAGGGCATGTGGTGTTGATGCTTCAGTGCTGACACCAAAATGTGGCTAATTAAAATCTCATCAGTGAAAATTATTTTCTCTTCACATTGAGAATTTAAAACAGACGAATCTCACACAAACAAAAATATGCTCCAGTGTTTTGTGTAACTAAACTTGCTTCATCCAAGATAAACCCTGGTAACCTGGGTGTGTTCAAAATAAAACAATACTTAAATTCAGGTAGGTAGCTGTGTTGATCTGTCGCAGTCGAAATGATTGCAATTCTAAAGTAACAGGCCAGAATGGCTGTGAAAAGGTTGCTTGAGTGTTTTCATGGTTATTCCATGGCTGTGAACAGGTGTCTTCACAGTTCTATATATATTGTCCAGTAGTGTCTTAGAGACCAACTAAGTTTGTTCTTGGTATAAGCTTTTGTGTGCATGCACACCTCTTCGGATACACATACTGGACATTTTTTTAAAAAAATTTAAAATATATTTCGAATACTTAAATTGTTGTTGCAGCACATTGCGGTTCAAAAGTACTTATCTCAGTAATCCTCTGAGCCATAAAGCTTAGGCCCAAAACACTGCTAATGGCACCAGAATTCCTCAACTAGGTTCCACTACGGTGCAAATGCCTCAAACAGGAAGGAGTTGTGGATATCTTACTTTGCAGGTATCCATCATCTCTACATGTCAGGTGATCATCAGAGCTTGCAAAGCCAGGTGTACATCACAACGCAAGCCCTGACCACCAGCTGATTGTTTGCAAGGGCTTCACCTACCACACACCTGAGTCAAATCATGTGTAGGGCAGGTGGGCCTGGCTTGGCCAAGCAACATCATGAGACAAATGGGGAGGTTGGTGTGCTGAATTAGACCTGTGGGCTGAAGTGCCTTATGGATGAGGTAAGCATGAGTTTGACCTTTGCTCATGCTTGGTCTCTTCTATTAGGCTATGGGGTTTCAAGCTGCAGGGGCTTCTTTGGGAAAAACTCAGATCCCTCTTGATCAGTAGTGGACCTTGGCAGCTCAAATTTCAGTGATACCCTGTGTTATGCCAAAATCTGCCCCTGCCTTCTGTTGGACTTCATAGTTGTAGCGCCTACTGCGGTACCCCAGAAGCTCCGCACCCAGTATGACAGGGCTCCCCTGGATCCACCTTTGTCTTGATCAAGCTTGCATGGCCAGCTCCAGGTTTTATGAGACTGCTGGCAAAGTGACCCCTGGTTGGCTCCCTTCTACAGTAGCTGGCCTCAGGCTTTCCACACAGCTGAGGTGGGCAGTTGTGAGGGGTCATTTTTCATTCCTACAATGTCCCCAATGTAGCGTTGTTCCTAGAAAATTAAAAATGGTGCCTCAGATACATGGGGCAGGTGTCAGCACAGATGGCCCTGCTGATATATTGGGGCTCCTGATGTCAAGACCTCAGACCAGGAATCCTCAGGATCAGAGTTCTCCTTCAATAGTAGCTCTGCAGAGAAGGGGGATCTACTCTCTTGTCTTTCTCATGTGGATCTACTGGCACCAGAACTTGCATCTTATCTTCTGAACCTCAGCCACCAGGTTCTGATTGGGCCACAGACTCCTCAGAGGATCAGGAAAGATCTAAGATCTATCCCTATCACCACCATCTGTTTATTTGTATGTCACTCCCCCCCCCCCAAAAAAATGTGCCCAAAGTAGTAGACAACATATCTGGAAGCCCTCAGTTTCCCCATCGCTACACTAAATAGACTATGATAATATATGGGATACTTTTTATAGTGCTTGGTGGAATGAAATGTGACTGTAGCTGTTAAGGACTCATTTGTTTCCCTTTTCTTGTATACAAGTTTGGATTTGAGTTTGGGTTAAGAACACTTTGGTCACAGAGAATGTTTACTTCATATATTTATTGAGAGCAGATGCGAGGAACTTACCAAAATTTGCAGCAACAACCTTGATCAAATCTATGATAAGGTCATGAAGGAAAGAGAGTGAAAAGTTCTTTGTATATATGTATTCATAATCCATTTGAACACATTAATTTTTATGGTTTAATTTCCCTCTTTATGGTGCATTTCCCTCTTGTTTGCTTTATATGATTTGATTGACTGTAATGTATTGCATGTAATATAGGACTGATAAAAAAAAGGTGGTATGAGAATATTTCAATTAAATAAATAGCAAGGCATAGTCACCCTTAATTTTTTCTGAATAGAGATATTGGATTCTTGTCTCATTACATATGCTAAAGCTATTTTTGGTCATCTGCATACTATCCCTTGCTTTTTCTTGTAGGACTTATTGCCGTCATTAACAGTCGTCAACAGGTTTACCATACCCATTGAGTCAATCACCCATCTCCTACTACCCTTCTGAGAAAAACCCCACCCCACCCTCCCACTCTATATAACGGTCTGGTGACTTCTGATTCAGTGTATCTGAAGAAGTGCGCATGCACACGAAAGCTTACACCCAGAACAAACTTAGTTGGTCTCTAAGGGGCTACTGGACAATTTTTTAATTTTTTATTTATGGGAGAGACATGTTTTGTTGAAGAGGAGGCAGATGAAGGCATCCGGTTGTGCTGCTCCATGTACACTATGGCGTTTCTTTTTTCTGTGCAGTCTTTCCTCCTCTGGTCGCTGCTATGGATGCACAGCCTGTCTGTCTCCATGCACCACGGTCATCTGCAAGGGATTCCCATACAGCAGGGTTAATGTTGCCAGCCTTCATGTCACATTTGCAGACATCTTTTAAACAGAGTTGGACTACCAAAGGGCCTAGTGCCTGAAGCCAGCTCCCCATAGAACACACCCTTGGGGTTTTGGTGCACATGACCAAGGTCTTGAATTATCTACCTTAAACTGATAACAAATTTGAGGGTGTGGAATCAGTGAACTTCAGCAAAGACATTTTCCCCCATTCAGGCCAGTCAAGCTGAAATTGAGTAGGTCAGAAAATCCTTCAACATGGTATCTAAGTATTTCCAAAAAATATGAAACTTCATGATGAATTCACAAAGCCTCCTCTAAATTCCTCAGGAGTCTGCACCCTATAAATATTTAAAAGAAATCTCCGGTACATAAACACTTACTCTGTCTCTTGTTTTGGTTTATCAGCACGAAAGACATCAGCGGATTGGGGTGAGCAGGGAAGCAAAGTCCTTTTTCTTTGTTCAGATGTTATTTAGCATATCCCCAGATACAGCAAAACTTTTTTGTGCTAATGGTCCTTTTCACTCCTTCTTTTTCATCACCCTATCATGTTTCAAGAAAAGGCAGAGATGAAATCTAACTCTTAATCTTAGCTAATGGGAAATGTGTCTAATTAAAATCTCATCAGTGTAAAAATGTGTTTTGTTCATTGCACGTATCCAAAGCGTATAGTCTAAAATAACTCCTTCCTGTAATTTTCCCACTTTAATTTTGAATGCATCCTCTGTATAATTATGCTGTGTTTTCCCTCAATTAAGTAACTTCATGGAAGCAAAATCTGGTGCCTTCCACATAGACACCATGTTTTTCCATTTACTCTACTTCTAATGATTTGGGTTCCTCCATTGCTGACTAATATCTCCCTCTGGGTGAAACAGTACATCACTTCACACATTACAGGTGTCCTCCAAGACTGAGGTCTAGGGAGAAAGGGATGTGGAGAAAACCCAGTGATGGTGGGGAGGGCAGTAGACTTCCCTTTGAAGGGCAGCCCATAACTGAGGTGATGAACCTGCAAAGGCCTCAGCACCTGAATTTCTAGCGGAAGGAGAGTACAGGAAACGGCCTACGGATGAACATTTCACCTCATGGTAGATGGCTGTATAGTGTGCAAAGTGCTGTGATGATACTGTGAAATCTTAGGAACATATGACTTTAGGAAGCTACATTGCACCAAGTCAGACCATTGGTCCATCTAGCTCATTATGGTCTACATTAACCTATCGGTGGCTTCAGGGGACAATCCTAGCTGTATCAGGAAATGCCAGGGATTAAACCTGGGCTATTCTGCATACAAAGAAGATGGCTTTACCAATGAGAGATGTCCCAACCCACTCAACCCTTCTTTTCTTTTCTTGGGCCCATAGGACATGCATGTTGGCCCAATGACACAACATTTGGCAGTGGTAGTAGTTGCTTCTGCCACTCTGTGCTGCTGGGTGGGCTGGGTCAGCATTCTCACAAGGTCACAGGCTGTGATATACACTGGTGGAGCAGTCAAATGGTACCCTTGCACAGTGGTCTACAACATTGTGCAGATTGTATATATACATTCAGTACAACAGGCTGCTTCTTTTTCAGTTCCCTTATGGCTGCATGGTTTTGTTTTTTAAAAAATGCATTGTTCTGGAAGTGACATAAATCACTGCAACAACATGGCCCTTCTCTTTCTCCTTGCCCAGTGGGATGGCCCCACTGGACTCAAGGCTGAGTTGGGAAGAGCTGGCAGCTCTTAGTGCTGGCTGGGGGAATCTAAAATAGAAACTGCAACCTCTCAGGAACAGCACGTTTTCGGTGTATAGAAAAAGGAAAGGAAGTGGGTTGTGTATATGTTTGTTTTATTTATTTTTTTAGAAAAGAACACCAAACATTACTGAGAAGGCACTTTACATCTCTGTGATTGGAAATCTCTTTCCACTCATCCTGGATGTAATTTAAGGGAAAAAATGTTATGTGAATTGGAAGTTTGCGAAGCATGTCGAATTGACAGCCCATGAGATTGAAGTTCTGTTTATTCACAGACTAGGTATAGTACAAACTCCCCTGCATTCCACTGCCAATGTGCCTCTATTCAGATGAAGAAGAGATGTCTTGAGTAGCCTGCATGCCCATTTCCCTCCCTGTTCTTTCTACTGAGACTAACGGCAAGGTTGCCACACATGGTAAAGCAAAACTTGTCTGCTGTGAACTCTTGTAATGGAAGTTAATTTGCCATCTGCATAAGATGTTAGGGTAAGTAGAGAAGGAATTTTGTGTGTGTGCAGAGCTGACTTTCTAGTAAAGCTCCGATTTAGCAAAGGTTCCTGAAATGTCAGCATTTCATTTACAGCAGGCCATCGTTGTTTACAGATTCCTGCAAACAGAGGTTGACCATAATTTTGAAATGATCATTACTCTGAAAGTTCAGCGGCTGTCATTCTCTGGCCCAGCTCTCCATGATTTCCCCTAGACGTTAGGGAAGTAGATTTTGCTTGTTAGCCTTATCCTCCACAGTAGAAAAGATATCAATGACTACTAGCCATGAAGGCTATACTTTGCCTCCACAGTCAGAGGCAGGAATGATTCTGAATGCCAGTTGTTGGAAACCACAGGAGGGGAGAGTGTTCTTGTGTTCGGGTCCTGCTTGAGGGTTCCCACAGGCATCTGGCTGGCCGATGTGAGAACAGAGTGCTGGACTAGATAGATGGGCCTTTGGCCTGATCCAACATGACTTTTCTTACATTCATTTAGGCCAGGGTTTCTAGCCATTCAAAACCAGAGTCTTATATCCAAACACAAATGCACCTCTCCATCCTCCATTCATGCAAGCAAGAGGCATGAGCACAGTTCAAGGACATCTTCCAGCAGGCAAAAGGAGGACTGTATGGAGCAGAACCAGTGAAGAGTATGGCTTAGGGGAAGGGAAAATGCCCTAGGGAGACTTCATTTAGCAGGACTAAATGGTCCATTGGCTCTATTTGCTGCAGTGACAGCTGATCTGGGCTGACTGTGGACTCTATTGCCTACAGCTTATAGCTATGTGAGGGGTGGGGTGATGTATGGGCAAAGGAGGCAGGTGGGAGAGGGGATGATCCAGCGGAAGAGGCTGGTGATTTGTGGGCTTCTGTGCCATCTGTGAGGCAGCTGCTGGGGGTGGAGGTAAATGGGAGCCAGGAGGAAGAGAATAGGCAGTCAGAGACAGAGGAAAAGGAAGCAGGAAAAGAGTTGGATGAGGTCCTGGAAGCTGAAGAGACTGTGATGGGTCCAGAGAGACCTCCGTCCCCCACCTTCCACTGTTCCCATGGTCATGGATGGGAGCAGCTGGAGCTGCCAGTCAGGAGAAGCCATCAGACAAGGGAATTTAAGAATGCAGGAAGAGGCATGGCTACCCTGTTGTTCCAGGGTCCCAGATGGTGCACAGGTCTGCAGAGTTAGATTGCCTAGACAGCTTGTTAGCAGGATGTGGTGTGCCTATCCCTTGCATCACAGGAGCTAATGGAAACAAGTGCTTTATTAATAAAGAGCTAACATTCCAGTCACTTGTCTTCATTGGTCTGGGATGTGCAGGACAGAGGGCACTGGGACTTTGGCTGTTGGCTAAGCTGCTGTTTGCAGCTGGAGTGAGTCGGGATGACTTCCAAGCTGGAGTCCTTTAAATCTTGGCTAGTACAAAAATGAGGAGTGAATGGCTGAAAGAAGCATAGAGAGAACAGGGTGGCAAAAGAAGCATGAAGAAAGGCTGTAAAACCATATAGAAACTCTCAGGTCCAGGGTGAAATGCAACCCTCCTGGCATCTCCACCTGGCCATTGGAAGTCTCCCTAGGGCATTTTCCCTCCCCTAAGCCATGCCCTTCACTGACTCTGCTCCATACGCACCTTCTTTTGCCTGCTGGAAGATGTCCTTGAAATGTGCTCATGCATTTTGCTTGCCTGGATGGAGGATGGCGGGGGCATTTGTGTTTGGATCTAAGACTCTGGTTTTTGAATGGCTGGAATGTAGCCAACTGTACAAAGGCAGCAGTCACATCCATTACTTTGTCAACCTTTGTCTCTGGCCCCACATGGCACTGGCATGTGGCCACTCCCAGAAGGGAATGTAACCCTTGGGCTGCAAAGGGTGAATCAAAGCTGCAAGGAAGGGAGAAATTCAACTGCCTTTAGTCCCTTTCAGGGAAAAAGGTGGGGTATAGATACATAATCATAATAATAAGACAAGTGGGAGCAAGGAGGAGAGAAAGAAGGCAGAAGGCAAAAGACAGAGGAACAAACCAGAAGTAAAACAGAAGCAGTAGAGAGCCAGGAAAGGGTGGCCAAGAGTCAGGCAGAGGGAATTTAAAGCTGTCCAGAAACATGGCAGAGAGCAGTCCCCATCTGCCAGGCAAAGGTTCTTAGCCAGGAATCATTTGGTGGCACTTTGGGCATACATACGGAAGGTAGGAGTCATGGTGAATCTTCATAGACCAGAACAAGCATTAGCCAGAAGCCTCAGAGAAGGAATGAAGGAGGTTGGAACAACCAGTTAAATGACATCACTTTCATGATCATTTGCCTGTGTCCTTAACATTGAGGGTCCTCACCTTAAGAGAATGTAAGATCTTTCATTTGGCTTTCTTAAAAATTCTCAGTGAATTTTTCTTTACTTCAATGAAATGAGCAAGAATATACATTCCATGCAAGCCCTTCTAAACATGGCGTCTCCTCTTTTGTGAAGACTTGGATGGTGTAGACTTTGAGAGGTCTCTCTCCCTTGGACTGATGTCACACACAAAAGCATTACTTTCTAAAAGCAACGACTTAGATTCAAAAACTGAGATGTACTGTTATAAACCACAGT